TTTGTCTTTGTCTCCAATATACCAAAAATAAAACAAAATCAAAAACAGTTACAAAACATATTTTTGTTTTCATTTTTGACAAAAATTGAAAACAAAAACACAAAACGCAGGACAAAAACAATTGTCAAACACCCCCTAAGTCTTTCAACATAAGCCTTGTATTTAAATACTAGGTGGATAAGTTTCCATGTGTCACTTTTCTATTGAGTGGAAATCTCCAAAAACCAATCACAATGCATCATTTGTCATAGTGGATAAGATTAGTTAGATAGTCTTTTAATTATATTATGGGTCCTGAGAATAAAAGCCAATTGCTGGAATTTTAATCACACATTCCTTGTTTGGCTCGTAATGTGTGAAAATTTTGACTGTCTCACAATTTAACGAAAATTGATTGCCCAAATCAATTTGGCAAGACAAATCCAATTGTGAGATTTGTTTCGTCATCCGAGTTACATAAAAATTTAGATTTTTAACCAGTGCTTAAAACAATTAAATTATCGTATTTTCCTTTTAATTGATTTATTAAATTTTTCGGATTTTACATTCTTCTCCCCTTAAGAAAATTGCGCCCTCGAAATTACAAACATATGCAATACATGAAATGAATGCACATATAATCATGTCATATACAACTAACATAAAAAATTAAACTTTACCTCCATCCTCAAATAGATTAGGTAACTCGTATGGTGTCCTCGCATTCCCATGCAGCCTCCTCGATACCCTAGTATTGTCATACCACCTTAACCAGCCTCAGTCTTAACCCACAAAACCTAATCTTGGCCATCCAAAATATGAAATGTTCCTTCCTTGAAGGTCTCATCCGCTTCAACCAGTAGTTTACCCCAATCCACCACATGCATAAGATCTAGAGTATACTTCTAGAGCATGGAGACATAGAGCAAGCTATGAACCCTTGACCGATTTGGCGATAACACTAANACTCTTGGCCATCCAAAATATGAAATGTTCCTTCCTTGAAGGTCTCATCCGCTTCAACTAGTAGTTTACCCCAATCCACCACATGCATAAGATCTAGAGTATACTTCTAAAGCATGGAGACATAGAGCAAGCTATGAACCCTTGACCGATTTGGCGATAACACTAACCAGTAAGCAACTATCCCGACTCTCTTAACTACCTTAAAGGCCTAATATACCTTGGCAATAGCTTGTCTCTCTTTTCAAATTGGACCATTCCCTTCTTCATCTGGATTTCCCTTCTGTTCTTCGGTGTTATGCACTACCCTTAACTTCCAAGCCGATTTTGACCCCCAAAATGTTCGAATCGAACACTTTCTATTTCAAACATATTTGTAGCCTTTGAAGTCTACTTTTCAAATCCTTTTGAATTAGATCATTTGGACATCTCAGTTGAAATTTATATCCACATTACCGATTTAAGAATTCTTCTTCCTTGTATTTTTTTTTTCATTCCTTTGTCTTAAATCCTTCAACTCTTATTCCCAAGCAATATAATTATCTTCTTAACTTGGACAAGAATTATATAAGTAAGATCATTAATCTCTTTATGTTCTTCTCTTATAACAAATAAATTGATGATGTTGGTGCTTAAGCTTCTCATGTTCATTTCATCCCATTCTTCTAATCTTCAATCAACCGTTTTAATAATGCTCATTCTCTTCAACTAGTTGCATCTTCTACTATCCAATTGAGCATTTAACTCATACACATTTTCCCTTTCGACTCTTTGCATTCGATGTAACGCATTACCCATTCAAGTTTTCTCATCAAATATTTACAATGTTTTCTAACCAAGCTTAGATGGAGAAGATTAGTAATGCAAGAGTATCTGTTATCATCAAAATTTTGATCAACCAAGCATAGGATCAACAAAATTTTGACATAATTTGTTGATCTAATTAATCATAATTATTGAATTAATAGTGAGTCTTATCAAATACTAGAATCCACTATCAAATCTTTGACAATGATTGATCAGGTCAATATTTTTACTTTTTAAGTCCAACTAACATTACTCATGANTGGTAATGCAAGAGTATCTGTTATCATCAAAATTTTGATCAACCAAGCATAGGATCAACAAAATTTTGACATAATCTGTTGATCTAATTAATCATAATTATTGAATTAATAGTGAGTCTTATCAAATACTAGAATCCACTATCAAATCTTTGATAATGATTGATCAGGTCAATATTTTTACTTTTTAAGTCCAACTAACATTACTCATGAACAATTTATAGAAATGCTCACAACCCTGAACGTTCCTAAATTGAAACTAAATCCCTAATTAACAAAAATAATTATAAAAAGTAAAATTTGACATAATTTAGGCATCTAATGACTCTAGAATAAAATAAATATTTTTAATTAAATTATTACTTTATGAAAATAATAAAATTTTAAATCCAGACTACATTAGATAACTGTTAAGCCTATCATTTNCTCTGAACATTCCTAAATTGAAACTAAATCCCTAATTAACAAAAGTAATTATAAAAAGTAAAATTTGACATAATTTAGGCATCTAATGACTCTAGAATAAAATAAATATTTTTAATTAAATTATTACTTTATGAAAATAATAAAATTCTAAATCCAGACTACATTAGATAACTGTTAAGCCTATTATTTCTAAGCTCAGTTCATCTATTTGGGAGAAAACTCTACTTTGTAACCCTCTCAATAACCAAATTTACGAAGAATTGCATCAACAACTAAAAATTGTATTCAAAACTGGTAGGCTCATGGATTGATTTATGTTTTGATCATCTCAAGTCTCACAATACATTTCATTTTTTTTAGAATATTTAGTTTCCAAATGAATTGGTATTTGATTGGAGTTCATAATCCAACCCAATCCAATCCAAAACCATGGTATAAAAACATTTGATGTGCATTTGTGAAATTCAATCCAATGTTTGGGTAGCCATTTTATTTTTTGGAAAACAAAAATGCATGGATTTTTATCTGAAGTGTCCTTACTCCATCCACTCTAGATATGGGTTCAAAGGGGCAACAATTTACACACGTAATCTTACTGATCACACCATTTTATTAAATGTTTGCTTTGTAGCAAATTACCCATCACAAACACTTTAATGGGAACTGAATTATGCGATTTATTTTTTCTTTTTTGTATCATATTGACTATGTTAATCAAAAATACATAAAATTTTAACTACTTTTCAGACCTGAAATAAAATCTCTTTGTTTCAAGTGTATTAATAAATTTTGTCAAATAAAAGTAATATGGGCACTTGTACTAATTTCAACAAATCACCAATCCATCTACACACCCTCTAAAGGTATCTCCAACCCTGACTCAAATTTATACTTAAATTTAAATTTGAGTAAACAAATCTATAAAATTTGCTCCAACCCTTACGCAAACTTATACCAAGGGTGTGTTTATTAACTCAAATTCAGCACTTAAAATGAATGTATTCAGCACTTATTAATTTAACTCGTTTGATAACTAAAACTTCAATAACTTAATATATTAAGTACTCTTTAAAAATAGACTATAATATTAAGTAGGAGACCCTTACTTAATTTTGAATGCTGAAAGAGCTCAGTAAAACCAACTTTAATAATATTTACAATATAATAATTCTATCCCTCTCCATCCCTCTCCTTCAAATCATACCCACCTTCTCTCTCATCAAAAACTCCTCTCTCTCTATCTCTCGAACACTTTTGTTGTCTCTTTATCGAACCCTTTTGATCAAACGTTGTTCTTGGGTCTAATTAGAAACTGTCTCTCAGTCATTATGTCGATACCAACACCAACCACCTCCGTGACGACCATCACCTACCAACTGTTTTCTCCCTTGAACAGGTTCTCTCTCAAGTCTCATAACCTCTCTCTCTTAAAATCTCACCGCAACCACCCATCAAAATTACACTGTCTCTCACATACACAAATAATAATAATTTGTGGGTTTTGGTTGTTTTTGGTTCATTGTGGATTCATGGGTTCCCTGTAAATTGGCCATTAATTAATGGATTTTGGTTGAAATAGTTGAAGACCAAAGCTGTTATCATAATACAAATAACAAATTTTTATCTTTAACACTCCTAATTTGTATCCTAGTTTTAAGTTTTAAAATTTATGACAATTGATAGTTTTAAATGATCAATTTTACTTAAATTAATTTTATTATCATGTTTGTTAAATGTAGACCGCAATATAATAATAATGATTATAATTTATGTTATGAATTAAACTAATTTAATATATCGTAGTTTTTTATTAGATAAAAATATATTTTATAAATATTTTCAAAATAAATAGTAAAAGGGTAAAACTGAAAATTAATTTATATTCAGATGTCAACTCTATATAGTTATCAAACAGTTTAGTTCAATTCAGTACTTAAATTTTAATAGATATCAAACAGTCTGTAAATTCAGCATTTAGTTTTCTGACTTCACCTTTCAGTTTTCAGAATTCAGCTTTCAGTTTTATCAAACACCACCCAAATCAAGGGAGACTATTTTTTTACTCAAATTAAGGGAGATTTAAATCCATACTCAAATCTTGAATGATGAGATTTCACCATCTTTTAAAGATTCAATAGTCATTTTTATTCTCATTTAATTTTAAATTTGCTCTCATTTAAATTTAAATTTCTTCTTCTTTAAATTTGAATTTGTCCTTTAAAATTTTTTATATTAAATTAAGTTTTTAACTCAAATAATAATTTGATTTTGAATAAAAATTTGAATCATGCAGATACTCTGACCAAGTATGCAGAGTGTAATCCTATAAAAAATTGTGTTGAGGTCAAATAATAGATTTTGTCTTTTCGTATTGACCGGTTTACCCCTACTTTGATGACGTGGCGGAGTACAATTGGTTACTTGACAAACTGCAGCGTATCATTATTGTCCATCAAGCTAAAATATGTTAACAGCCGAAACAGCCTGCCACAGGATTTTAGCAATCTCGAGACGCCGAGGTCTCTCTCTCGCTCTCTCTCTCTCTCTCTCTCTAGGGTTTCTATTCGACTTTCATAACCTATACTCTCTTTTTCGAAGAAAGTTCACGAGTTCGCTGTTAGCTTGATAATGAAAGGTATGATTTTACAATTTCTGGAACCTTGGTTTCCTAGGGTTTCGAATTAGTTTTTGGGCTCTTGCAGATGATATCAGTGATGAACAACGAAGACTTAGAATTACATCGGACAAACGATGTCGTTGATGATGAGAAGAGAGCACCACCTATGGCTTCTGGTGATGCTGTCGTGGATAGCTCTGATAAAGCTACCAATGGTGGTGATAAAGGGGCTCGCTTAGGTACGATTGGCTCCGAAGTAATTAGAGTTCTGCATGGTGATGTTGATATTTACGATAGAAGGGCGAACTTGAATTCGATTGAGTCAGAAGAAAATAGGGTTTCTAGGGAGCTTGACAATCGTGCTTCGGAGAGTGGAAATGTTAGGGTTTTGGATGGTGGTGTTGATTTTGTTGCGAATAGAGGATTTGAGGAAGCTACGGTTTTGAAAACTAATGAGAAAGCAAAATCTAGGGCTTCTGAGATGCTTAGCGAAGACGTGAAATCAAGCCATAATCAATTCTATCATCGGGACAGTGGAACTGAGAATTTGAAGACTAGTAATGAAGGAGATGTATCTAAATCTGAAGAGACAGGACACGTGGAATCGAATCCGATAGCAATTGACAGTAAAATTTGGAACGGTAATACAGATGTTAGAAATGGGAAAATCAGGCATTCGGGCTTGAAAGCTGGAAATGAGCACGAAGTATCGGAGACAAAACAGACTGGATCTCATTACGATTCGATGCTTTCGATGTTTGATGAATTTGCGGCAAATCGAAGAGGGGGGGTTTTGCCTAGGCCGATTGGTTATGGGTATGAAGTAGGAGATATGGTTTGGGGTAAAGTGAAGTCACACCCGTGGTGGCCAGGTCACATATATGATGAGGCATTTGCGACTCCTTCAGTACGGAGAACGAAGAGGGAGGGTCATGTGTTGGTTGCTTTCTTTGGTGATAGTAGCTACGGGTGGTTCGACCCAGCTGAGCTTGTACCTTTCGATATTAATTTTGTGGAGAAGTCAAAGCAGACAAATTCGAGAACTTTTGTGAAGGCTGTGGAGGAGGCAGTGGATGAAGCAAGCCGGAGGCGTGGTTTGGGTTTGGCTTGCCGGTGTAGGAATGCATACAATTTTCGGCCTACAAGTGTGGAAGGATATTTTGCTGTTGATGTTGGTGATTATGAGCCTGGAGCTTTTTATTCAGTGAATCAGATTAAGAAAGCGAGAGATAGTTTCCAGCCCAGAGAGACACTTGCTTTTTTAAAGCAGTCTGCATTGACACCTATGGATAATGAGCATGGGAGTATTCAATTTATTGAGAACAAGTTTACTGTTTTAGCTTATCGCAAGTCAGTATTTGAGGAGTTTGATGACACTTATGCACAGGCTTTTGGTGCTCAGCCAATCCGCCCTTCACGACCACCACCACCAGATCAACTGGCTCATCCATCTAGAGGTATTAATTCATTCTATCTACCTAATATGTTGGTTTTTGTGGCATTTGGGTTATTCTCTTTGCTGCATTTTATCATTCTATTTGTGGATTAACAAAACGTAATGGGACATATGCATTAGAGTACTTTCTCACAATGTCATCCAAGGACATTACTTCTCAGAATCATGGCAACTCCTGATATTGAACTAAAAATGATTTACAGAGTAAATTAATTATCCCTATTGTAAGATCTTGCTAAGTGCATACACATAGTGTTGCATTTTTTTGTTTGAAGTTCCTTCTTCTTAGCTTTTGAATCATTGCCTTCTTTTTTTTGATAGGAAATCATTGCCTTCTTTAGAGTTTCCTTCGAATAGAAATGAATGCCTCTAGTTACCGTGCACGATGAAGTGAAAGTAGATCATAAATAGCATTGAGAGAGCTCTCTGGATCTTTCTTGTTTGGATTCAGATCCCTCTAATACGTTTTTCCTACATTTTCCTTCTTGGAAAATCATCCATGTTTAATGGGTGAGGGACCCACTTTAATCCAATGGGTCCCACTTCAATAGATGGTAGGTGATCCACCAAGAAGGAATTTCCTTTTTTACTATAGGAGTAAGCTTAGAGTTACTTTCCTTTAGTCTCACTTATCTCTGAAAAGAAAGGGGGAAAACGAAACATTTTCTTTCTCAGATGTGTTTATTTCTAAAAACAAAGGAAGAAAAGAAATGTCTTTTTTGATTTGATCTTTATGTTTGTCTGAGACCTTGTAATAAGAAATGGCTCAATGTTTACTCTTACCAATGCCAAAAGTACCAAGCAGCCATGCTTATATCTGTCATGTATGACAAAGCACAACATGAAAGATTCTTTATCTGTTGCATTGTTGATTGGCCGATTGATTCTTGAGTAGCTAACTTACTTGACAGAATGTTTTATTCTTCCTCTAGAATGTGTTGTATTGTTTTGAGAGTTGTTATCATGTGAAATAAATTTGATCGTATAGGAACGGGCATCTTAAGTTGTGTCTAGCCGTAGTCTTAGTTTTAGACATAATTATGGGCTTGTTGTACACATTAATAAACGTTTTTGTTGTTGATGACAGTGCATTCGATCAAGGTTCAAAGTATCGGCCGAGACGGATACGACTCGGCCAAGTCGTCTCCGTCTCAGCCATGACCAATCCGATATTGATGCACGATACATAAATATCACGAGTCACTCATGACTCGGCAGTGAATCGGTTACAACTCGGTAGTATCGGTTTGACTCGGACTCATATCACTTGAGTCAGGCGAGTTACATCGGACTCGGATCGATACTAGTAGAAACTTGAGCAAAATCTCCAAAATCAAAATGACAAAGGAAAAAAAGAAATGGAGAAGAAGATTTGAGACCTAAATGGACATTTTTCAAACCCTAAGTCACAAAAAATACAAGCAAATTCACCCTTTTTTGCAATTACAGAAATAGAAAAAAAATTGAAAGAATTGTAAGGCATACCTGTTAAAATAGAAGACACAGAAAGCCCTAGCATCATCACAAAAGTCCCCTCTTTCTTCTTCTTCGTCATCATCGAAGAAGCCCTAGCATCACAGATGAGTCAGAGACTCAGATCAGATCCCTCCCAGCGAGCCTTCAATGACCAGCGTTGACTCCAAGATCTGATCCATCATCTCTGTGCTCTCTCTATCTCTCTGTCGATCTCAATCTCGATTGCATGTTTCCTGTTCGTCGTAAGTCTGAGTCTCAGACTCTGAGAGCTAAACAAAGTGTTTTTTTTTGGGTCAAAATACTAGAGGCATGACCCAAGATTTACCCCCCCCTTTCTTTTTGTTTTTTCAGTTTTGGTCCAATTTTTTTAATTATATAATTTTGAGTATTTATCATATAATCTAATTAGAACTTAACTTCCTAAGTTTGCTTTTGTATATGTATTGATGATTTAATAATTAAATATACATAATTGAAAAAATACATATAATTTCTAATTAGATACATATTAAATAATTAAATGAAAATTTTCTTTATAAGTAGATTTTCATTTTTAAATCGCTATTAAGTTAACCATTTATATACACTTATATTTTTTTATAATTTTTAAAAATTACAAATTAAATTATATTAACCTTGAACATAGATGAAAATAAATATTTTTCGGTAATATCCTTATTATTCGTTTTTGCAATAATTAATGTGTTAAATAATGTCTTTTAGGGATATGAAGCATGGATGATGATGTTAACGTTGATTACAATTTTTTCAAATTTTTTTGAGCCTTCTATATAGTGTTTTGGGCGTATCAGCCGATACCGCACCGCGACCGATGTATTTCAGTGGCCCCCGAGTCAAGGGCTGATTCCGTGACCTTGAACCATGCATTCGATCTAATGATATGATTTTGCCGTATTCANCGGCCGATACCGTGCCGCGACCGATGTGTTTCAGTGGCCTCCGAGTCGAGGGCCGATTCCGTGACCTTGAACCATGCATTCGATCTAATGATATGATTTTGCCGTATTCACTCAATATCTCCTAAAAATAGTTATGGTGCTTCAGTGTTTTTTTTTTTTTTTGGGGTATTACAATTGAAAAACAAGAAGAAAAAGAAAAAGGGGGAAAAATCCAAGTTGAACATTGATCACTCATCAAAACTTAGACTATATTTGCAGATGTGTTTAGGATAAGCTCTTGTGTCATTGCTTTATGCAAGCAAGGTGCTTCTATATTCAAGTAATTACTTTTGTGGAGCCCTCCCTATTCTGGGAGACCTTTAATTAAGTCGTTTCCGAACTGTCTTCATGGAGTAAAGAAGCGTTTCAAGGCAAAAACTTTGGTCTTTTACTGGTTGGCGGAGTTTGGCAAAACTTTGAACTACTGGGTATGCCATTACCAGAAGTGAACTGTTTTCAAATGGTTTCATGTGTCAAATTAGCTTTGAGTTTTTGTTGCATACACAGCAATACTGAGATTCTGCAGCCTTTGCTATGAGACGAGCTCCTATCTATATGCATGAAAAAGAAATGAGGTATTAACTATTGGTCATTACGTGAGAAGATGGACTTAAAAATTCTTGGAAGTGATTCAAAGTGTTGTAGTCTAATCTAATTTGGAGTAAGAGTAGCTTTAAAATTTTTGAGCATTTTGATTTGAGATTCATCACGAGTATTCCAGATTTGCAGTAATGTGACCAATTCTTTAAAGGTTTTGATCCTCACCTTAGGTTTGCATATGTGGGCTAAATTCTTCCCACCCTTTTTCTGTTCAGCTTTGTGCTCGTAGGCATTTCTTACAACTTATGCTTATCATACTTACTGTAGTATTTGTTACCTAAAAAAGTTGTCGATGCTTTTGAGAGCATTTGCATAATGCATATTCTTTATTGTGAAAAATAATTTTAGGTTGAGTGTGTTATGATGATAAATTTCTTCCTCAATTGCCCTTTATGTTGATGAACTCACGGATGTTAAAAGTATTTGATAGTTTTGGCTTTAAAATATTGCCACATAAGTTCAATCAAAAGATTGTTTCATTGCAACTGAAATGAATTACTGGTTGAGTATTTTAATACCTATGTTTTGAGGTGCTTCAGTGTTTCAACATGTTTTGATCAATGTTTAGAAACAAATTTACAATTTTTTTCTCTGTTTCCAAAATGTTTTCAAAACATTTCTGTTTTCTAGCTGATCGAGACTATGCACCGACACCAAATTCTGATCCTTGAACACAATCTCAGCTTTGGGATGGATTTGTTGTCCTCCTTTGGCCATTTATTTGTACTTCATTTGATTCATTAGTAACTTTTTTATTTCCTATACAAAAAAAATAGTATTTTGTTATCTAGATATCGTTAATGTGTCATTAGACATGAAGTTATGAACCCAAGGTAATCAATTTTTCTTTTTTGTTATTGCGTCATGACCTCGCACTTTGAGTTTTATGATTATTCTTTGTAACCTGATATATTTGAAATGTATGTTATCTTTTGTGATTATAGCGATATTAGTGTTACTTTATTTTTGCTAAAATAACGTGTCACATATTATCTGTTCTTGATTGTGTACACAAAATATAATAATTTTTACATATGATTTATCTGTTTGAAATATTACATTTTATTAACAAAAGCTAACTCAATATTATTGTACTTTTTTGCTAATATTATTTTTCATAATCTTTGGTATAAATTTTACTTGTTGTNCATATGATTTATCTGTTTGAAATATTACATTTTATTAACAAAAGCTAACTCAATATTATCGTACTTTTTTGCTAATATTATTTTTCATAATCTTTGGTATAAATTTTACTTGTTGTACTAGTAGAGTATATGCGATTTTCTTTATTTTGGCATTGTCCATATGTTTATCCAATTGACTTATCAAAAAATTGTAATAACTTGTCACATTCACGCTGCTATTTAGGTTATGAATGGGTGTACTGCCATACCCTGGTGGTTTATTTTTTCATTTGATTACCTTTTTTTTTTTTTTTTTGGGGGGGGGGGCGCGTTGGATGCGGTTTTCCAATCCTAGCAGGCAAGGGAATGAAACGGCTTGAAATCTAGAAGACGATGTTTTAAAGTGACCAATATGATTGGGGGCTTCGTTAAAATCAGGAGATAGCTAATTTGTGGATATTTTCTTTAAACAAGCAGGGAAAGCTAAATTTGATATATAGGTAGGAACCTGAGACTGTATGATTTCTGAAGTTTAGCTTTTAAAAGCCACATACAATCTCGTTGAGCCATATTTTTAACTAAAGTAGTTCCGAGTCGCATTAGTGTCCAATTGAAACTTCTTATTTTAAACTAGGATTTCCATAAGTGGTGGCTAACCACTGTGAGCATGCAAAAGTAGGAATACGAATTTAGGTTAAGTAACCTTCCTCCTCTCTATCCGACGAGGTTTCGCTTGGTGGGAAGGCCTTCATGATTTGCATCTTCTTGTCGAGCAAAGAAAAATAAGAGGGAAGAGANTCGCATTAGTGTCCAATTGAAACTTCTTATTTTAAACTAGGATTTCCATAAGTGGTGGCTAACCACTGTGAACATGCAAAAGTAGGAATACGAATTTAGGTTAAGTAACCTTCCTCCTCTCTATCCGACGAGGTTTCGCTTGGTGGGAAGGCCTTCATGATTTGCATCTTCTTGTCGAGCAAAGAAAAATAAGAGGGAAGAGAAGGAAAAAAAAGGAAGGGGGGGGGGGGAGCTTACAACGCATTGGAGGACGTGGATTTCCAATCCTAGCAGGCAAGGGAGGGAAACGGATTGAAACCTAGAAGACAAAGTTTTAAAGTGCCCAATGTGATTGGGAGAAGAGACTTAGTTAAAATCAGGAGATAACTAGTTTGTATATATTTTCTATATATGTAGGAACCTGAGATTGTATGATTTCTAAAGTTTAGCTCTTAAAAGCCATGTACGATCTCGTCGAGCTATATTTAATATTCATATTTGAAGGGAAAATAGAGATACTTTTTTTATTTTTTTTTATATTTGTAATTAAAAAAAATAAACAACTTTATAATACGTTATCATTCTACTGAGTTATAGTATAGTAATTATAAAGTTAAAGTTGAACATTTGTTCAGTAAATTATAATTATCATCGGGTTCCCAATCTTTTTCAAGAATTCTGGCAACTGATCGAGGCCGATCTGCTAACTCACGTGGATAATATAAGGAAACCCGGTCAGATGAGGGGCCAATAGTACTTTCCTCACTTGAATTCCAAAAGAGGTCAGTCGGTTGTAACTAAAGCAGTTCTAAGTCACAGAGTGACCCAATTGAAACTTCTTTTTCGAAACTTCCATAAGTGGTTTTTGGTCCCATTTTTGTTACAATCAAATTCCTACTATCTCCTTCTGGTTGAAGCTAGGAGGAGGACCAAAGTTGATGTTGGACAAGAGATGGGAAATTCCTCCCCCACAAAAGATCCTTGTAAAAAGAAAACGCAACGAGATTAGGAACTTCGGACAATTCCTAAATATCTCTTTAAGGAAATATATAGTTGTATTGGGATGCTCATAAACAATACTGTTTGCTGAAAGGCAGAATCAACTAGGGGAGCAAGGGGTTCTTGCCTACTTGCGAATTGTTTGATTGTATCTTCAAGTTCAAAGCTTGTCTTGTATAATGGGTTGTGCTGGGGTATATTGATGTTTTCATATAATGCTGAGCTTTGGTCTAGTTATCCAGTATATAGACTTTTCGATATGTATGTCTGTACATGTAGATGCAATGCATTTTTATGTGGATAGACATACATACATGAATATTCATATATTTATATTGGTTTGCACACTTTGATGTGTGTATNGATTGTATCTTTAAGTTCAAAGCTTGTCTTGTATAATGGGTTGTGCTGGGGTATATTGATGTTTTCATATAATGCTGAGCTTTGCTCTAGTTATCCAGTATATAGACTTTGCGATATGTATGTCTGTACATGTAGATGCAATGCATTTTTATGTGGATAGACATACATACATGAATATTCATATATTTATATTGGTTTGCACACTTTGATGTGTGTATGCATTCATGAATGTATGCATGTCTGCGTGTATTTATAGGTATGTACATGTGTGTGTGCTCACTTGGCAAAGTGTTTGAGGATATTTCATAGATTGATGTGACAATTAATGTACTTGTACCTATCTTATTTGTTTGATCTAACTGAAGGATACAAAACCTAAGCGAATGAAGTTACTTGTAAACCATCACTAGTGCCGAGTCCATATGCAATGGGCCATTAAACAAGTCGAGCAAAGAAAGTAATATCGAATAGAGTGGCCTCAAGTTACTAGCTCTGCTCTAGTTGCTTTTCTTTGTTGAGTGAATCGCTATGGAAATGAAATAGAAGAGACAAATGCCTAACAACCAATGGCACCAACCAACTTGGACTTTGATTCTTATTATTCATACCGATTATCAAAACCATTCGGATTGCAGCCTCGATGATGTGACATAAGCGCTCTTACTAAAAAGACAAAAGAGGTGCTTCGATTGATCACCAAGCGTATGATCTGGTACAATCCGTCGCTTCTAATGGGGTGATGGGGTGGCAGCCATCACATATACTTGCATTTTAAGAGAATATCCTGTGACTTCTCCTTTCTAGAGTGTATAAAAGGATGTGGTAGCTTACTGTTACCTTGGATCATATGTCTAGAGTGTATAAAAGGATGTGGTAGCTTACTGTTACCTTGAATCATATGTACTCGTTTCTTGTGCATGGACCACAACTTAGGCTTGTTATTTTGTTTACTTTAATAGTGTGAATTTGGATAAACTTCTGNCTCCTTTCTAGAGTGTATAAAAGGATGTGGTAGCTTACTGTTACCTTGGATCATATGTCTAGAGTGTATAAAAAGGATGTGGTAGCTTACTGTTACCTTGAATCATATGTACTCGTTTCTTGTGCATGGACCACAACTTAGGCTTGTTATTTTGTTTACTTTAATAGTGTGAATTTGGATAAACTTCTGATGATGTTTTTTTTATGTGGATGCGCGATTAAAATTTTTAAGATATATGAGCTATCAAGTGCGAGAAAAATCCTGTAATTCAGNTTATGTGGATGTGCAATTAAAATTTTTAAGATATATGAGCTATCAAGTGCGAGAAAAATCCTGTAATTCAGCCAATATGAGTTTGGATCCATAGAAAAAAAACAATTTCCCCATTAACTTGTATATGTAAGTTGATTTCATGACCAATGCTTGACTAAGTATGACATGCTATTTATGTGACTTGTATCATTCTTTGTTTTGTTGCATGTAAGTCTTTTCAACAAGCACTTGGCAAAGTCATAAATATTCTATTAATGCCAAGGGTATATGCGATCCAGGAGTGATTTTGAAATTTTCATTGACTAAATATTGTTTTTAAGAAAAAAAACTGACAAGATTCTGCATCAATTTTATGAATCTAAAATTGAGCTACAACTCTGCTATAGGTACTAATCTAGGTGTTTCAATTTTTTTTTTTAGATTTTGTAGCATATTGAAAAAGAGAATAAAGTTAGCAAGTTTTGCTAGTCAAAAGAGTTAAACCTATTGTTGGACATGTGTATGCATATGCTGGTTGATAATATTGACGACGATTTTTTTATTCTGATCTGTTGACAATATAGCTTTTAATATGGAGTGTTTAGGATATTGTAATGCAATTTATTGAAAAAGAAGATATCCTAATTAAAAAAAATGAAAATACCAAAGAGTTGAAGCCAGTTTATTTAATCTGATTTGGTTGAATGCGCATTAGAAATTTTTTTTTTTATTTATAAAATTCTAGATTACTAAGTGGTCAGGGTAAAATAATTTTTTTTTTTTTTGTCATATTTTTTTTGTAGATAAAATGACATTGGAAAATTTGCATTGTTAATATCATTTTGTATTAAATCATCGCTGAAGTTACGTGATATTGCCTTCNAATTTTTTTTTTTTTTGTCATATTTTTTTTGTAGATAAAATGACATTGGAAAATTTTCATTGTTAATATCATTTTGTATTAAATCATCGCTGAAGTTACGTGATATTGCCTTCCCTCTAAACAAAATGAAATATGTATTAATGTTTAGGACCTCACTTTTAGCTTACAGTGAAGCCAATTTCTGCTTTGGAGATCAGTTTACTCTTAAGGGTTGTAGTGGTAACCAAGCTTAATATTGTTAATGGTAGGGTTGAGTCATTTCTGGCTTTTTAGTGGTGGGTGATGTGGGAAATCCCATTGATTAGAACACAACCAGGTGTCTGACTTTGGCTTGTTTCTGTAACACCTGGAATTTACTGAGAACCTTTCCCCTGCTGTGGATGGTTATTGATATTCTCAGTTTTTTATAAATCTCACGGGCATTGCATGTTAATCACATTAATATTTGTATCATTCTTGAGCACCGTCTTCTTTCTCATCTTTTGACTTGTCAACATGCAGTTCCTTTGAGTGGCCCTCTAGTGATCGCTGAAGTTTTGGGTAAGAAAAAGAGCTCCCCAAAACCTAATAAAGACAAGGACCAAGCAAAGGACAGATATCTTTTTAAACGTAGAGATGAATTAAATGAGTTTAGAAGCCACCAAACCAACAAGGGGCAGGCAAGTTCCTTTACCCAACCTGTTTATGTGGAGGGTTCTTCGGCATTTGCAGCTGGTGAGTACGTGTTGCAAAAGAGAGCTTCAGCGGTCTCTGTAAGGCCTGAGATGTCAGCTAAACATGAACATACGGGAACTATTTCTAAGAAAGGTGCTTCATCTCTGAGTCGAGATGTAACTGCCAAAGAAGCTGAGAAACATGCAGTTACAAAATTTAGCAGACCTGGCTTGGCAGATGACATGCCCTACCGTTCTCAATCAAGTACTCTTGAAGGTTTCCAGCTACCTTCCACTCTACCAGCTGCAGTTGAAGAATGGGATAGACACAAACAAGTTCAATATGTTCACAGTGGTGCACATGTTTTAGCGGCACCTGAAACTCAGCATCATGATGAGGGTTCTAGAGTTATTGACAGCGGTGGAAAGAAGGCCAAAGTTCGTAAACGTCCAGTGGCGGAATTGAACAATGAGCATTCTGTGCCAGTGGAGAAGAAGAAGAGAAAGAAAGAAATGGGCATCGAAATGAACTCTGATCATGGGCACATGCGCACAGCTTCTGGAAAATCTGGGACATCCGTGGGGATGGTATCAGAAGGAACATCAGTCCAAGGTGCTTTGTCTCCCAGAGAAGATTTTCAGGTGGACCAACAGAAGAAAGATAATGGGGCCAGCACTTTGTTGCTAGATTGTACTGGGTCGCAGCAAACGGTTGGCATAGACAATATTGAGATGGATCTTCCACAATTACTGAGTTATTTGCAAGCTCTTGCTCTCAATCCCTTCCATGGTGTGGGGAGAAGTCCTGCAATTATACGGCAGGTTTTTTTGAGGTTTCGGTCCCTCGTTTACCAGAAAAGCTTGGCCTTGTTGCCACCGGCTGACAGTGATTCGAATGAGTCTTGGGCTAGTAAATCTCCAGAAGGTAACATAGTTACTGATAATAACCTGGTTGAGAATGTCAGAGATCTGCCATCTTCAAAACCATTGAAACCATCGAAACAACTGGTCAGGTCTGAGGATCCAACAAAAGCTGGGCAGAAGCGTGGTCCATCTGATCGTCAAGAAGAAATGGCTGCAAAGAGGAAGAAGAAAATTAATGATGTGAAATTATTGGTAGCAGAAAAGAAGGCTTCTCAAAAGATACCGGAAGCTCAGCGAGCAGATATAAAAGAAAGAGTGTTTCCAGCACCCGCGAAGGCATCTAGCAAGAAAGCCGATCCTCCGATGAGGGCACATGATCCCACAATGTTGGTGATGAAGTTCCCACCCCGAGGAACGCTTCCATCTCTATCGGAGTTGAAAGCAAGATTTGCTCGTTTTGGACCATTAGATCATTCGGGTACTCGTGTTTTCTGGAAGTCCTCAACATGCCGTGTTGTCTATTTGCACAAGATTGATGCACAGGCAGCGTGTAAATTTGCTATGGGAAGTGGCAACTTATTTGGCAACACAAATGTGCGATGTCACATCCGAGAATTGGGGGCTCCAGCTTCTGAGTTAGAATCTGCCAAGGTCCAAAGGGAAGACCCTTCCGCTGGGACCCCATATGGCCGGGACTCTCTAGTTGAACAAAGATCTGCAACAGCACTTACAACCCCGATCCTTCAGCAACCCGTGCAGCTTAAATCCTGTCTGAAGAAATTATCAGGAGATGAAGCAGTAGCAGTGACCGGTGGTGGTGGTGGTGGTAGAGGGGCGCGTGTAAAATTCATGTTGGGTGGGGAAGAAAGTAGTAGAGGAGAGCAATTGATTGGTAGTAAGAACTTCAACAATGCTAGTTTTGCTGATGGTGGTGCATCTTCTTCTTCACTTGCAATGGATTTTAATAGTAAGAATTTTGAAAAGGTCATTCCTCCATCTCAATCACCTGTTCTTCCTCTTCCTAGTGTTCAGTTTCCCAAAGCACAAAACAATATGCATTACACTGAACTAGCACCGAGAAATATGCACAATTTCAATACCCCCACCAATCCTCCGCAAATACCGGGCCCATCCAACATAGATATAGCACAACAGATGCTAAGCCTTCTCACAAAGTGTAACGACGTTGTGGCCAATTTGACGGCTTCGTTAGGCTATGTGCCTTACCATCCTCTTTAGTTGAGTAGTGGGTGTTCGGGCAAGAATATAAAGGGGGAAAAGAGAGAGAAAAAGAAGGGGAAAAAAAAAAGAGGAGAGAGGAGGGGCAAAGAGAGGCCGGGGTGGGGTTGGAACAAATTTCTGGCGGATCAAGATTTGAATCAGTGAGACCAGTGTGGTGGTTGGGGACCCGTTTTGGCAAAGGGCTGGCAATTGGGGAACACATTACGACGGAAATTGAGACAAAAATGTGTAGCTGGACTGGAAGCGGATACTCCAAAAACATGTAATGATGAAATAGAGATAGTGCTCTGGCCATTTTTTTTTGGTTATTTTAATGCTTTGAAGTATTTAGACCTTTAGCTTTTGTACTGATTTGAACCATGGTGATGTTTATGCTTTACCTTTTCAAACTTAAATTGATGGAATTTCTTTTTTATTTGGAGTCTTTGGCAATGTCCTTTCCGTTCTCGTAAACGTCAAAAACGGTACGTGGATCAGTTATTNGAATCAGTGAGACAAGTGTGGTGGTTGGGGACCCGTTTTGGCAAAGGGCTGGCAATTGGGGAACACGTTACGACGGAAATTGAGACAAAAAAATGTTTTCGCCTGAAGATTGTGTAGCTGGACTGGAAGCGGATACTCCAAAAACATGTAATGATGAAATAGAGATAGTGCTCTGGCCATTTTTTTTTGGTTATTTTAATGCTTTGAAGTATTTAGACCTTTAGCTTTTGTACTGATTTGAACCATGGTGATGTTTATGCTTTACCTTTTCAAACTTAAATTGATGGAATTTCTTTTTTATTTGGAGTCTTTGGCAATGTCCTTTCCGTTCTCGTAAACGTCAAAAACGGTACGTGGATCAGTTATTTTTTTTAATATTCTTTCGTGAGATTTTTTGATTAATGGGTCTCATTGGTTCAATTCAATGATTGTGGTCGAACATCAAACTTAACATATCTTCTTGTGAATTTGGCAAAATACGATTTGTATGGATTTGAATTCATGAATTTAACTATGATACCGGGAAAAAAAAATCGGTATCATATCTCTATTNACGAATCTTCTTGTGAATTTGGCAAAATACGATTTGTATGGATTTGATTTCACATGAATTTAATTATTCATAATTATAAATACATCAGCACCTTTATTTATTATATTTGAGTCATTTTTATCATATTTATAGAATTTTTTATTATTGTTATAATATTTCAAAAAATGATAAAAATAATTATCACAAAATAAAAATATTTATAAAATATGATAAAAAATACCTACAAATATGGTAAAAACATACACAAATGTGGTAAACTTTTTTTGTACCAAATACAAGTGGTAAAAATAGTTAACAGAAATGTGATAAAAACACTATAACAGTAGTAAAAATACCAACAAAAATGATAAATCACTTACAAAAATGATAAATTTATTTGTTATAAAATGAACCACAAAAATTATAAAAACACCAGTTGAAATTGTTAAAAGTTGAAGGTACATTATCTTCAGTTATGTAGTCAAGTCCTTAATTCATGAATTTAACTATGATACCGGGAAAAAAAAATCGGTATCATATCTCTATTTATCACACCCACTGTTTTAATATTCTAAAAAAATAGAATGATAATTTTATAAAAAGGTGCGCCTTGTGTTGCCGTTCACACCGTTCCTTCCCTAAGGTCTTTCACCATACACGACAACGCTCATAAGCTATTAATAGCCATCGTAAGTGCGCACGTCCGTTTCCAACGCGCTACTCACACGCATAGTGGGCATTAATAAAATAACCACTAGCCTTTAATNTTCCCTAAGGTCTTTCACCATACACGACAACGCTCATAAGCTATTAATAGCCATCGTAAGTGCGCACGTCCGTTTCCAACGCGCAACGCGCTACTCACACGCATAGTGGGCATTAATAAAATAACCACTAGCCTTTAATGAAAGTACACTCACAGCCTATACAACATTTCAAAAATTGCACAAAACCCCTTAAAAAAATGACGTCAAATCACAATAAATATAATAACTGCTATCTGACTTATGTATGGCCAATTTTTTCAAAATGCCCTTGTCAAAATTTTGGGAAAAAAAAATCAATACTAGGGAAGTTCAAAACAAATTATGAAATGTAAATCCATTTCAGATCGAGTAAATATTGAGTGTAACCGTAATAGTACGTCGTTATTGTCACATAATATCACTAACTAATTATAAAATAACAAATAAAATTAGAGAATTATATTATTTTAACATAGNGAAAATTCATTTCAGATCGAGTAAATATTGAGTGTAACCGTAATAGTACGTCGTTATTGTCACGTAATATTACTAACTAATTATAAAATAACAAATAAAATTAGAGAATTATATTATTTTAACATAGCAGAGGTAGTTATTGGTGGTTAAGTAAAATCCACTAAGCATCAACAAAGTTACAAAGGGCCTACCCTCAATTTTTTTTTTAAAATCTAAAACATTTAGTCTTTTTTATTGTATTAAAATTTTCTCCGAATGATCTTAATTTTATTATTTATGAATTTTTATAAATGAAAGTTCTTGCAATTGAACTTTATTTGATTTTCTTTTTTTACAAAAAATCGACTCTATTTCTATTCAAATATTGATTATAGTCTTTATTATGTGTCAATTGATTTTCAAGTTTTTTATTATGTTTAGCTCTTAAATTTTAGTTTAGTGGTTTAATTATGTTAATATCTTAGTGATAATATTTGGAATAAACAATAAATTGTTAGTAAATAACTAATGTTTTTTTTATTTCAAAAATGACAATTTACTCCACTTTTTTATAATGGAATGGACTTCATGTATCAAATATTGTATAATAAATATAAGTATATTATATAGTGTGATTATTTATGATAGAAATAATTCGAGTATATATTAAAGTGTCTGTCTTAAACAAAATTCTTAGACTTTGTCCCTTCCACTAAGCCCACTTGATATTTTATCATTGATGACACCATATCATTATTATCACGTGGTATCACGTTAAATCCAATATTTTTTCTTCTCCATCAGAGTATCCATCTCTCGCCATTTTCTTCCTAATTTCGCTTGTCAACCCTCATTTTCCACCTTCTTCCACTCCATCTCTTTCCTAGACGTCCCATCCAACAACCACCCCTCAACTTGTGGCCAAACCAAACTCACTAGTTAAACCTTATAAACAAGTATGTTGATTTTAAAATGGATGATTCAAAATCTGTCATAGAACAAGTGAATGCTCTCAATGAAATTGCAACTAAATGTGCTGAATCTAGGGAACCATTTTCTGAGACTTTTCAAGTTTCTACAATTATTGATAAAACTCCCACTTTTGTAGAAGGATTACCAGAGGGTTTTAAAGCATAAAAAGAAGTCTTTGAATTTGAATAAACTAATTCAACACATTCAAATTGAAAATGAAGTAAGGTTAAGAGAAAAAGTTAAAAATCACGGAAAGACGAAAAAAGTGCAAAATGTTGAAGGGTCAGATACAATCTCTACTAAACCAATTAACAAGTCTCATAACAGAAATAACTTTTCCAACTTAAAGAGGAAAAGTGGAAACTTCAATAAAAAAAGAGTTTCCTAATAAGAAGAAGAAAGGTCCTTGTTTCGTATGTGTCAAGTTGAAACATTTTGCTAAGGAATGTTGCCACCAAAAAGGCTACAAAAAGAAGGAAGCAAACATGGTGAAAAATAGCGAAGACATGGTAGTCATACTTACTGAGATTCTTATGATAAGTAATGATGTAGGTTGGTGGGTTGATTCAGGTGCAACCTATCATGTGACTACTCACAAGAGTGTCTTCAAGACTTATGAGGCTATTAATGGCAAGAAGTCGTGTTCATGGGGAACTCCTCTACAAGTGCTATCATGGGAAAAAGAACCGTGCAACTTCCCCTTACTTTTGAGAAAGTGCTTACTCTCAAGGATGTTTATCACATTCCGGGGTTGCAAAAGAGTCTTATCTCTGTTAAGAATCTTGATGAACATCGTTTTAGAGTTGTATTTGATTCNGACAAGAAGTCGTGTTCATGGGGAACTCCTCTACAAGTGCTATCATGGGAAAAGGAACCGTGCAACTTCCCCTTACTTTTGAGAAAGTGCTTACTCTCAAGGATGTTTATCACATTCCGGGGTTGCAAAAGAGTCTTATCTCTGTTAAGAATCTTGATGAACATCGTTTTAGAGTTGTATTTGATTCCCAAAAAGTGATCATTTCAAAAAAAAGATCATTTGTTGGGAAAGGCTATGTCAAAGAGAATATGTATTTGCTTAGTATGAATAAAGAAGTTTTTATTTCTACTTATATCATTGATTCACAAAATAATGATGTTTGACATTATAGATTAGGGCACATTGGTAGTACTACAATGAATCGCATGATTTCACATAATTTTGTGCCTACCAATAGTCGTATTCTAACTACTCAAAATTGTGAATGTTGTGCTCAAGCAAAGATTGTTAAGCATTCATTTAAATTTGTCACTAGATCTACTAAGTTGTTAGAATTAATTCATACCGACATATGTGATAATAAAGATCTTTTGACTAAAGGAAGAAAAAGATATTTTATAACTTTCATTGATGACTATTTTAAGTATACTTATGTGTATTTGATTAGAATAAAAGATGAGGCTTTTGAAAATTTTAAATTATTCAAAGAAGAAGTTAAAAACAATCTTGGGAAAAGAATTTAAAGGATTAAATCCGATAAGGGTGGTGAATATCGCATAAATTAGTGCATTAAATTCTTTGAAATGCATATGCAATGCGAATATACGTGAATTAGAACATGACTTAATGATTGAGTTTGATAATACTCAATTTAATATCTCTCAAAATAATAAAGAGAATTATCATGATATAGTTAGTGGAAATAACAATAATAAAGAAGTAATAGTTCAACTTAGTGAATTGAGAATGAGTAAAAGATGGAGGATTGAAAAAGATTTAGAACCCGATATGTTCATATACTCTATGGAAGAAGATCCTGAAACTTTTAGTGAAGTCATGTCCCTTCCCGATGCCAATTTATGGAAAAAGACTATGGATGATGAAATCAAATCCATTCATGATAATAACACTTGGATATTGACTAATCTTTCTCCTAATACTAAAATTATAGGATGTAATTGGGTTTTAAGAAAAAAACTTAAAACTGATAGAAGTATAGAAACTTTCCTTGCCCCCCTATCACATTTATGAAGGTTTCTTGACCTTCGGAATTCAACAATAACCTTATTTTAATTTGACTCAGAAACTTACCTTGCCCCTTTCTCAAGCTTAAATACACCCAAAACTAAATTTAACCTAAAAGTCAATACGCATGAAACTCAAACTTGATAATCAATCTTCATGAAAATCATCTCCTTAAACCTCTCAAGGTAAGAAACTCATCTAACCACTTTATTATACCCAGTCGAATGCGACCCATATTCATCACACCCACCCATACAAAAGATGGTTTTTTAATAATTTTCCATAACATCCTAAAAAACTCAAGAATCATGGTTCCATAACTTTCTAAAGAGAATACTTCAAGAAAAACATGCAAGAGATCTTCAAGAAACATATTTACATTGATAATACCAAAAACTAGGGTTTTTGAATCAAGAATGAACAAAATCTTGGATGTAAATTTTATATTTTAAAGAAAAAGATTTACATATTTGAAAAGTAATCAGAATATTTATTTATCTAGCATATACTTAATGATTAGGATCAAAAAGCTTATAAATAACAGCCTAACCTTAATGAATGAATTTGAGAAAGTATTCTTACCTTAATTCGTAGTTCAGTGACACCCTAGTGCGTTGATTCATTACCAAAGCATCAATTACCACAATCTTGCCCTTTTTCTTCCCTCTCACCCTTTATTGGGTCCTTAGGATTCAAAACTGCCAAAAAATGACCCAAAAAAAATGTACTTAGGGTATTTATAGGATCAAAACTATTCAGTTGGCGTGAACGTGATTGATGTAAAATTCACACTCAAGTTCGAACGTGATATACTCCTAGTATCTCATATTCTATCAATCAGGCTTGAACTTTGGGGCTAGGCTGCGTTTGAACGTACCCCCAAAATACTACAACCTAACTCTTTTTCAAGCTCATTTTGACCTAACTAGGACCTGATTTACAAAATTCTCATGAAATACACTTTGTAGACCTAGAAGTTTAGCTTCTAATGTAAAAAAATCAGCTCATTATCATATTAGGATTAAAAGTTATGGTTACATTATTATGGTAGTATCAAATCCTATCCTACCCAAATTTTTTCAAAATTACATTTTAACTCTAGAATACTTTTGAACTTCTAATATATCTTGTTTCACATTTATGAAAGTTTCTGGACCTTTTAAATTCAATGGTAGCCTTATTTTAACCTAAAAATATTTAAAAACTTACTTGACCCATTTCTCAAGTTTAAACACTTTCAAAATTAAATTTAACCCAAAAATCAATATGAGTGTAATTCAAATTTTATAATCAATTTTTCAACAATGATTTAAAGTTTCTACCATCATTTTATTTATTTTAGGATAACTCTTAAAATAATTTATCCTTATGTAATTATAGTATGGTTTTAAAGCAGGCACAAACAATTGCTAATATCTAATATTACAATTAGGAAGTTAAAATTTCAATTTATAAAAGAATAACAACAATCAAGATTGATCCAATTATCATTTGCTTTGATTTAGTGATACAAAAATTATTCAAAAAAAAATTTCTGGTAAAAAATATAATTTTTTTTGCACAGCCCTTAATGTCAAACAATCTCATCATTTCACACATACCTCTTTTTTTCTCTCTTTATTTTAATTTTAAATTGTGTAATTTAAAAATAAATTATTATTTAAAATATAACTATTATAAAATTAATGCATAATTTTTAGTATTATATAATATCTTCAAATACGGATAATAACGAATATTATCCTAGGAAAATGATGCCGATAAGAAAGGCCATAGAGGGGTGGTTAGTCACGCTTGAGGGAATCCTATCTGTCACTCTTTTTGTGTTTTACTATTTCTCTTTTCTTTATGTGTTTATCACGTATACTGAATAGGGAGCCAAAATTTGTGCATATATAGCAGAGACATCCTAAAACTTAGTAGTAACATAAAGCATTAATATGCTAACATTCTTTGTTCGAAGGTCGGAGTCAAAACCAACAATAATGATTATAAATATTCAAAAATAAGTAGAATAAAAAACTTAATATATCACAAATTTATTAAACAAAACATCGATGCAAGAATAATTTATTCTATCACAAGGAAATTGATCAAGCCCAATTTCGAAACAAATTTAATCTAAAATATTATTCATAATATGCAAATTTTCAAATATAGAAGAAAAAATGAGAATTGGAGACTAAATATTAAATCATGACATTGAGTCGCATGACACAAGATCAAGTCTAATATTTAATTTATGGAAGAATTCTCTTTATTTTGAAAAATTAATGGGGACAAGTTGTAATAAATTTTAACTTCTTTTTAAAATTTTCAGTAGACTCATTTTTTTATTTTTAAATTTTAGTAGGGGCAATTGTCCAATTCCTCCCTTTCTAAATCCTATACTAAAAGAATTTCAATCAATTTTAGTTGGGATTTGGGAGAAGCCCAACGGTCTATTTGTTTAGTAAGATAATGCTAAAAAATAAAAAATAAAAAAGAGAAAATTGTACCTGTGATTGTTTAGCATGAAATAGAAAAATATAAAAAAAATAATTTTTTTTATACTTAGATTTTCTCACATCTAACTTACTTTNCTATTTGTTTAGTAAGATAATGCTAAAAAATAAAAAATAAAAAAGAGAAAATTGTACCTGTGATTGTTTAGCATGAAATAGAACAATATAAAAAAAATAATTTTTTTTATACTTAGATTTTCTCACATCTAACTTACTTTTTTTTCTTGCGAAAAGTACAAGAAAAAACAAGAAAGTTGTGTTCAATAACTTAACTTCTCATTTTACCTTTATTTTTTTTAAATATTCAATTATTTACTAATTTTAAAATTTTTTGTATAAATTAGGTTAACCATATTATTTGGCCTAGAGATTAGGGTTCGAGTCGATTCTTGTCCCTGAATTATGTTATGAGCTAATTTTTTTAAAATTTGAATAATAAAAAAAAATTATTCTTTAGAATGAGTTAAAATAATTAAGGATAATTTTGATAATTAGAAAAAAAATTATAATNTCTTGTCCCTGAATTATGTTATGAGCTAATTTTTTTAAAATTTGAATAATAAAAAAAATTATTCTTTAGAATGAGTTAAAATAATTAAGGATAATTTTGATAATTAGAAAAAAAATTATAATTTTTCTTTCTTTCAAACAATGAAATAAAATTATTTTAAAATTTTAAAAAAAAAATTTCATACTAACCAAATACATATATAAAAAAATATTTTTTTTTCTTTCATTTCGCTTTATATTTTTTTTTATTTTCTATCACCTTTTTCTTCGTAACCAAACCGACCTAAGGGTTAAATGGTAAAATTAAGCGCCACCCCCGTTAGTCACATCAGCAACCAAACGCTAACAAGGGGTTTTGTATAATTTCTGGAACCAGAAGGGAGTAATTCTTTTTTCAGCGAAACCTAAAGCGGTATTTATGTAATTTTCTCAAACAAAACTGTCCAATAACGCGTAAAATTCCATTAGAATCCACCCAGTAACCTCCAAATCTTTCTAGAAACGCAAAAAGAACGGCCCTCGATCAATATCTCCTCTCTCCTATTCGCCGTCAGTTCTTTACATCATCAATCGAATCTTCTCTCTCCTTTCCATCACCCATCTCTATCCACACGCCTCTCTCTCTCTGTATATATATACACACCCCCATAAGAGTCCTTTCCCATCTCAACATCACAAGAACAACAACCCTTCAAAACTCTGCTCTCTCTCTCTCCAAGTTTCATATTGTGGGTATCTTTGTATCATAAAAAATATTCATTTCCTTCTGACTAATCTTTGTTCTCTTGATCGTGTGGTGACAAAAGACATGGATATAGAGTATCGTCCGTTGGATATCACGGTGATCTCTGNCGCTCTCCAAATTTCATATTGTGGGTATCTTTGTATCATAAAAAATATTCATTTCCTTCTGACTAATNCCAAGTTTCATATTGTGGGTATCTTTGTATCATAAAAAATATTCATTTCCTTCTGACTAATCTTTGTTCTCTTGATCGTGTGGTGACAAAAGACATGGATATAGAGTATCGTCCGTTGGATATCACGGTGATCTCTGCAGAAGGGATCAAGGATGTCAACACCTTCTCCAAGATGGACGTGTACGCCGTCGTTTCGATCACCGGAGACCCCAAGAGCAAGCGCAAGACCCACGTCGACAAGGACTGCGGAACAAGCCCCAAATGGAACCACCGATTCAATTTTACCATCGACCAAGCCTCTCTTTCCGGATCCAACCCCACCCTCCACTTTCAGCTTCTGTCCGACCGCACTTTTGCCGGCGACAAAGTCATCGGCGACGTTTCCGTCCCGCTCCGAGAGCTCCTGGACAAAACCTCCAAGGACGGAGGTGAGCGCGTTGTGGAGTACCAGGTCCGTACACCTTCCGGAAAACCCAAGGGAACGATTAAATTTTCGTACAAGTTTGGGGGGAAACTCACTCAGCCGGCAGAGGCTAAGAAGTACGTGGATGAGCCGGTGATGGCGTATCCGGCTCCGGCGCATGTTGGTGCTAGTTCGGCGTACCCGCCACCATCTCCGGGAATGGGGTATGCTGCACCACAGCCTCCTCATGGGATGGGATATCCTCCTTCAGGGTACGGTGGATATCCAGCACCGCCACCACGACATGCAGGTGGATATCCCGCTCCGCCACCATCACATGCCGGTGGATATGCACCGGGGTACGGATATCAGCCACCGCCAATGGGTTATGGATATCCGCCAGTGCAGCAGCCTCAACAGCCTAAGAAGAAGAATAGCAAGTTTGGGCTAGGATTGGGAGCCGGGTTGCTGGGAGGGCTGTTGGTGGGAGATATGTTGTCGGATGTTGGAGAAATGGCCTCCTATGATGCTGGGTTTGATGATGGTGGTTTTGATTTCTAATTTTTCATTTGTCTTTAATTTTGGCTTCATGTTAATACATATGGAGGAGTTGATTTGGACCTATGAATAAATAAATCAAAATAAATAAAGATATTTACTTTGGGGTATCTTAATGTTTTTTAACTAAATCTCCATATATGAGTTTTATGAAGAATATTTAATGATAGAAATTGGGCACCATCCCAAACTTAAAATAAATAAAGATATTGTGATTTTTGTGGTTATGCTGTGATCTTGTAGACAATCAGGAATCTCTTTTCAGGGCCTCACCAACTTCCTTTCTTTGGTATGCCATCTTACTCCAAGGCGTTATCCATTTGTTGCGAGGCAAAAGATAAAAGCACAAAATTGCAGGGAGAATATGGGAGAGAAAACCAATCAAGGGAACGAAATTGCTCTGTTTTTCGCCTTGGCTTTCATACAGCCTATTTGCAACGTTATATGTTGATCTTCTCATCGTACCAAATTGATCTTGGTGATTTTAAGAATGTAGATGGTAGTATCATATGCTTACAACGTTATTGCTGGACTTGACTGTGCATTAATATTCATCAGTCTAAGGAGGGTTGAGTTTGAGTCAGGATTAGGAGCTAACCTGTTTCAATGCCTGACTGCCTGTTGTTTGGTTACATCTTGTTTGATGATGAAAAATTGTATAAAAATATGTATAAGAATTTCCCTTGGAATGTTTAGTTTATGTTTGGTATAAGGTCTTTGTTAATGGATGTTTAGTGGGTCTCAGGGGAATACTGCTTGTGAATAATCCTTCGACTCAGATCTTGAAGTGGTGAAGAAACCTTGTGGAGTTGGTTGGTTTCTACCTGAAATAGTTAGGAACTGTCGGTGTTATGCTCAGTTTGGTACGTTTGTTACGAATGTTAAAAAGTACGAACGATTCACTTTACTTTCTTTGTTTTTAATTGGAGAAACGAGAAATAAAAATGATAATTGTTACTTTTTTGGTGCTGATTAAGATTAGGGGTAATAATTGAACTTCGTCGTATCAAATTTGTATTGAGTTATTACGAATTTGTGTCGAACATTAATTACACCTAACTCAACGTGTTAACTTGTTTATTTTCGTGTTGTGTTCGTGTTTGTATTCATATTGATCTACATTAATTTTGAATAAAAAATTTAACGTTAATATTCTATTTTCACTTAATTGAATTCATGGTAATATTTTTTCTACAAATTAAAAGTTAACTTAAATAAATATAATAATAATATGTAAAAATATTTTTTTTATATAATAATTATATGAGTGCTTAATAAAATAGGTACAAATAATTAATATTTTATGTCAATATTAAACATGTTAGTTTCGTGTTAATTTTGTATTATCATAAAAACAAGAAAATAGAGAAAATATTTATTTTTAAATAAACAAGTTCATAGTATCAATTTTGAGTTTGACTGATTGAACTGAATATAAATTTTTTATATTTTTTGTTTCCGTGTCAGATCATTTTTAAGTTCATGTCGAATTATAATTAAGTTCGTGTTGAGTTCGAGTCGTGTTATCCTGTTGAGTCGAAAAATTTCACTCTTAGTTAAGATAGATTTTTTTTTTTAATTTTAAATTTTAATTTAATTTTTTTATTTTTAAATTTAGTTTATATATATAAGTACATATTTTATTATTATATTTTTATATGAAATTAATGTATACATAATATATGTATATTAGTCATTGTCCGTGCCTGAAGGCATTATGTAATAAATAAAAAAAATTACAATATAAAAAATGATCTAAAAACATTCATAAAAATTATTTTTTTTAAAATGGCTTGCCCCCATATTATTGAAACTGTCATAAAAACGAACAAAAAACTCACCAAAACAACACTACATATACAATTACCCCATGAAACAATATTAACAGAACCAAATCAAATTTACAATTTTTAAGTAATAAATGAAATCAATAAAATCTATAAGAATCATGTATTCGTCACCATTACTATCAGTCAATTTAATAATAAAATATAATTACCAACTCAATTCACTCATGTAATAAATATCTTAAACAAAAAAACAACCCACAAATGCAACCATCTATATAATAAAAATAAGTTAACAAATGCTGTCAAAAAAATAAATTTTGCTATTTGAAATTCCACTAGCTTCCAAAAGGATGAAATCAAATTTACAGTTGTAAATTAAGAAATATAATAAAATCAACCTAAATCAATATATAAACAATATGGTTGTACAATTTGACATTTAACAACAATCAGCTAATGTCAAAGCATATATAACTAAACCAACACGAACATTAAACATTAAAACCAATAAACTCTTGCCAAGGCATACACCACTAACATTTGTTGCAATTGGTTTCATGTATTTTTTTTTTATATTGGTCGCTTGTATTTTTTTTATTGGTAATTAACTTGACTTTGAATTTTTATTTTTATTTTTTTGATGCTTGTAGTAGTGATTTATTTTTGGTATGAACAATAACTTGAAGGTCTTATTTATGGATTGTATATTTATATTTTTGTTTGTGTGGAAATGTTGATGGCGATTAGATTGATTTTGAATTTTTTTCTACAACTGCAATTGGTTTCAACTGTTTTGTTTTTGTTGGTCACTTGTTATTTTTTTATTTTATACTTTTTGTTTGCGTAGAAGATTTGATAATTAGTTTGGATTTTATTTAATTTTTTTTGTTTTCTTGATGTCTATTTGACTGATTTGTGCCATTGGGTATTGTTTTTTGGTGTTGAACATTATGCTTTGTAAACTTTTTGATTATATTATTTTGAGAACTATATGTTTGCATATAGTAGATGACAGATATGACTATTAGAATTAGAGAGAGAGAGTTGTATCAATATGAGATAGGGAGAGAAAATTGTATTATGGGATAGAGAGATAGAGTTAGATGAGAGATAGAATTTTTAGAGTTAGGGAGTGAGAGTTGTATCAGTTAGTATGAGATAGGGAGAGAGAGTTAGACGAGAGATAGAAGTGTTAGAAAAATTTGGCATGAGAGCTGTCGGATCAATAATTATCGAGCGATCTGAGCCACGAAAAGTTAAAGACAAAAAAATCTAGCTACTTTATTATACAGATATTAAAAGATATATAAACAAATAAGATACAATTCAACACAAATAATTAACTTTTCATCCACATTCTTTCCGATTTTGGAGAGATTGATTTTGGTGAGTTGGAAGGAAAGTTAATTCATCAACTTTTTCATCCTTCTTATTTTCCTTGCTTACCAAATATAATGTTTTATTTATCCTTCCAAATTTTCATCTTCCATTTTTCTATCGTACCAAATAGAGCATTAGAGATGGTCAGATTGGTTGACTCTAATTGTATACGGATGTTGGTGTTTTGTAACTGTTTTATATATATTTATTTTACGTCAAACTGAATCTTTCATTCAGAAATTTTATTAGTTGGTCTTTTTTTGGCAAATTTAGAAGAATGATGTCACAAGTTGGTAAAAACATTCATCCTAAACGTTCTTTTTTGACACTATTGTCATTATCATGGTTAATGACAAACCAATTATTGTTTAAGAGACAATTCTACCCACTTTTAATTATATCAATAGGGGATTTCTTTAGTCGCNGAACTATATGTTTGCATATAGTAGATGACAGATATGACTATTAGAATTAGAGAGAGAGAGTTGTATCAATATGAGATAGGGAGAGAAAATTGTATTATGGGATAGAGAGATAGAGTTAGATGAGAGATAGAATTCTTAGAGTTAGGGAGTGAGAGTTGTATCAGTTAGTATGAGATAGGGAGAGAGAGTTAGATGAGAGATAGAAGTGTTAGAAAAATTTGGCATGAGAGCTGTCGGATCAATAATTATCNTTAGTCAATTTAATAATAGAATATAATTACCAACTCAATTCACCCATGCAATAAATATCTTAAACAAAAAAACAACCCACAAATGCAATCATCTATATAATAAAAATAAGTTAACAAATGCTGTCAAAAAAATAAATTTTACTATTTGAAATTCCACTAGCTTCCAAAAGGATGAAATCAAATTTACAGTTGTAAATTAAGAAATATAATAAAATCAACCTAAATCAATATATAAACAATATGGTTGTACAATTTGACATTTAACAACAATCAGCTAATGTCAAAGCATATATAACTAAACCAACACGAACATTAAACATTAAAACCAATAAACTCTTGCCAAGGCATACACCACTAACATTTGTTGCAATTGGTTTCATGTATTTTTTTTTTATATTGGTCGCTTGTATTTTTTTTATTGGTAATTAACTTGACTTTGAATTTTTATTTTTATTTTTTTGATGCTTGTAGTAGTGATTTATTTTTGGTATGAACAATAACTTGAAGGTCTTATTTATGGATTGTATATTTATATTTTTGTTTGTGTGGAAATGTTGATGGCGATTAGATTGATTTTGAATTTTTTTCTACAACTGCAATTGGTTTCAACTGTTTTGTTTTTGTTGGTCACTTGTTATTTTTTTATTTTATACTTTTTGTTTGCGTAGAAGATTTGATAATTAGTTTGGATTTTATTTAATTTTTTTTGTTTTCTTGATGTCTATTTGACTGATTTGTGCCATTGGGTATTGTTTTTTGGTGTTGAACATTATGCTTTGTAAACTTTTTGATTATATTATTTTGAGAACTATATGTTTGCATATAGTAGATGACAGATATGACTATTAGAATTAGAGAGAGAGAGTTGTATCAATATGAGATAGGGAGAGAAAATTGTATTATGGGATAGAGAGATAGAGTTAGATGAGAGATAGAATTCTTAGAGTTAGGGAGTGAGAGTTGTATCAGTTAGTATGAGATAGGGAGAGAGAGTTAGATGAGAGATAGAAGTGTTAGAAAAATTTGGCATGAGAGCTGTCGGATCAATAATTATCGAGCGATCTGAGCCACGAAAAGTTAAAGACAAAAAAATCTAGCTACTTTATTATACAGATATTAAAAGATATATAAACAAATAAGATACAATTCAACACAAA